AACAGATATATTTTAACAACTACTGAACTGAATTAACTAACTTTGTTTTGTTCCCTATTCAATCACCCTACTTTCATTAGTGGCATACCACCAAACATTTTCCTGAGATTTGGTTCTACTGGTGCTATTGTTGATGTGAGAGATACTTTGGAGGCATGGCAGAGACAAGGGTGGAACAGAACAGAGAAATACTGCTTCCACATAACTTGATTTTGACGCTTTGAGTTTCATGCTTCGCACATATGTCTCCACTGCCTTGATTCCCATCGTGCTTAATCTACATTCCTTGGTAGTGGTTTTAGCCATGCAGAAAAATCTTGGATGGATAGCCAATTTTTTGTTTACTTTAAAACTTCCCCGTGTTGTCCAGATAAAAAGTTATTGTCACATCATCCTAAGGTCCGGCCGCAACATCTTTTTTATCGGTTCCGCTATCGGGATGGAACCAAGAATGGTTACAGCGAGCGGTTTGGTAAATGTGAGAAAAATATTGTTAATTATTTTATAGTTTGATATACATTACAAAAACGAAATCCTATTCATGATATGGTAACAATTTTAAGACCTATGAAAGACTGATTTAAGACATTTTAATACCAATTAAGGCCTTGAATTTATATTGAAGAATTCAATATAAATTCCAACGGTATTTGGAAAAAAAACAAAAGTATCTTATTGACAATTCAACTATCTACATGGAGGTTGGAAAGTAAATTGCATAACTTTTTAAGTTGTACAAGTTCATCTCTCTGTTGATGCCCTTTGTTTCCTATATTTGGCATGGAAAGTGTGCATGCCTGTATCATTTCCTGACAAATAAAATCATATGAACTTAAAGCTTTTACTTAATGTAAGCATCATGAAAAGCAACGTCAGGGTATATATACACTTCTGTATGATAAAAGCAGACAAATTATTCTGTTTTACTTTTAGCCAAAGGTTTAAAGAGTCAAATCTACTTTTTGTTGATTTTGTTAACTAAAGGCTGCCAAGTTCTCACAGGCTTCTAGACATCTTCCTGTAACTAGTAGGGGTGTAAATAATAATCGTTTTGTATTGATGCATCGATCCAACAGCCAAAGATCCGATGCATCGACACCTGCGCAAGAGTGTCGATTCCTGTATTTTTTCTTCCTTCAGTCTATTTCATATTCATTTGCTTCTGGATGTTAACTCTGACTCCCGTGCTGCGGTGGTGATAAACCTACTTGCCTACTTTCAGAATCTATAACACAGAGGCATTATTTTTCGGTGAATAAGATTTTAATAACCCTAGGTGGAGTAAAACTTTGCTACTTCTGTTATTTGCTGTTGTTTCTCAAATATAATGCATAACAATATTACAGCTTTCATTGATTTATTTCAACTTTGAAACATTGTCTAGCCTCGATGGTAAAAAAAAAAAAAAAAAGTTACCAATCAATAGAATCATATCGTGGTGTATTCTTGAGTGTCGAAAATAATCGAATCGTTGGGTCAGGAAATTGATACTGATTCGAATCGACATGATGGGCATGATTTACACCCCTAGTAACTAGAAAAGCTTCCAAGCACCTAAAAACAGTATACAATGCAAACAAGCATGAGTGTGAGGAGGTGTGAAGATATAATCTTAAAGGAGTTGTCAAATGCATTCTGTAAATGTAAATATGCTATAAATCAATAGACAACCCAAAAAGCAATGAAAAGCATTTGACTTCTATTCAAACTGACTACACAAGTTTAGCTAGACTCCAATATGGATAGAATAATTGGCTTCCAATAATTTCTTTCAAAAGTAAATGACGCATTTAGAAAAAAGAAATGTTGGAATAAAACGCTATAAAAAAAACTATAGTACTAGAGTTAGGCACAAAGAATCGACTGTTACCGGTTCTATTATTTCAGTTCTCCCAGTTTGGGTTAGATTTTTCGTTTTTGATTCGTAATTTTAGTGGATATGTGTAAATGTTGTAATGAGCATTCCGAAAAGAAGAGCGATTCATAGGTTTTATATTTATGTATAGGTTGAAACATTTGACAATAAACAGTATTGTTTACATAAAGTTTCATTCAAAATTTCAGACCATTTAATCCAGTCAGAACTCTGGTTAGCCAGCTCAAATAAAAAGTGCAAACTTTTATGATACTTCCTACCAACGGTTCATTTGATATATTTATTCAATTAAAATAACTTTTAAGGGGATTTTTCTTTTACTTTAGAAAACAAATATGAATACATCAGTTTGGATAATTAACCATTACAGCTTGTTGACCTATCACATGGCTTAAGATGCAAATATGAAAAAGTTTTTTCAGGACAGGAAAACAAAAAACTAACATAGATGCTATTAATAATACTTGATTAATTCAACATTTAAACTAAGATTAAAACATAAAATCTAAAATTGATGATTGAATATTTACCAAAACCTAAACCACGAGATGTTGCTTCCCCCCAGGTTATCTGTTACTAATAGCAACCATTCCCGTAAACAAACTATGTTCCTGTTTTTTTATTTAATGTTTAATGGAAAACTACTAAACATCTTCAGGCATTTTGTAATTTAGCACAAACAAACAGTCATGCGCCTAAACCAGCGTGGCAACATGTAAAAAAAAAAAACGGCCAATCGGATAAACAGAAACTTCTAGAAGTAGGACGGATCAATATTCAATTGAAAGTTGAACTGATCCGCAGCATAATAATATACAGAGTGATATGAATTAACAAGATAAAGATGCCATGAAAAGTAAAGTCGTGGAAACTCCTAACGTTAGACTGCGGACTTGCTAACCTTAGTCTTAGATAAATGTTTCAGAACATAATGATACAACATTGAGTTCTCATATCTACTGCAAACATTTCTGATTATTTACACTATTTAACCAGCCGGTAATAAATATGAGCCAACAGTAAGAGGGTTATTGTTAGTAGATAACTACTGTGGCTAGTGATAGCAATTAGCTTGATTTTCTTAACCGTAAAAGAGACGCGCTTCGTCTCTGAAAACCGCGTTATGGAGGCCGGATAAGAGTAATAACATTACAAATACGTTAACTAGTTCACATTATTGTCGACGGTAACAAATAGGACAAATTATCATCACAACATATACACTGGATGCGGCAAGGTTTTACACCGAGGCCGAGCTCAGCCTTAAAGCGTTTAACGCTTTAGAAAAAAAAAAAAAGACAATTATTACGATACAAACCTCTGTGACGAAGATGTCCGTTCTTCTGCCCTTTATTTTATTGCTCTTCAAACTCCCTATTTTTTACCTGAGAACGGAAACTGTAGCTGCAGCCGTTGGCAGCTGGTTAATAATGATGGTGGAGGGTTTTTGGCCTTGCCCACTAGCTGTGACTGATGCTTTCACGTGCTGTTGGAAATAAAATATAAGCCAAGAGGTTCAGCGCTTACCCTTTACCTCCAGAACGTATCAAATAATATCTTTTGATTGATGAATGTGTATTGTATTTAATATGTAATAAAGGGGTAATTGCCCTTATATCTATGAAAATTCATTACGAATACACTACAAAATGAACTGAGCATAATGTTCTTCTAGAAGCTATATTTACGAGGGACACCTAAAGGCAGCAGGTCTTTCAACGTCCAGTGCCAATCTGTTATTGACCTGCCTTCATATACATGGGGGGGAGACAAGACCTAATGCGGTGGGGGAAATTAAGGATACAAAACAAATATTTAAAAATTTACTGAATCCTTCTCGCCGTTTTAAAGACCTCGATAACAAAATGTAGGCAATCGAAGGAAGCGTTGCTAGTTAAAGAGATCATACCAACATCCCATTGCGCCATCTATCGACTACTAAAGGAACTACAATACATCTGTTTTGTATCAACTTACAGTATACACAGTAGACTGAGTAAAGGGTGTCAGGAACGCTCTGTGCTGATCAGATGCTAAGGTTTATTAGACAAACAATAGTACAAAATGATTAATCATTTTCATGGACTATTAAAAAAAGAGACTTCAGCTGTGATATGTGTGTGTGTGTGTGTGTGTGTGTGTGTGTGTGTGTGTGTGTGTGTGTGTGTGTGTGTGTGTGTGTGTGTGGACACACTGTATATACTGTACATACCCCATGCACCATTTCTTCCTTTGGCACCCTCTTCTCTTTTTGACTATTTGAGCCGATGTAACAAGTACATTTCTCAAGTCAATGAATCAATTAATCAATTATCAACAAAAAATAAAACATATCTATTTAAAAACTGAATATAAGTTCATGAATTTGGTGTACATTTCTACTTTAAAAACACACTAAATACAATTTTAAGAAATCTTTATTTAATCAAATAAAAGATCCATTGAGATCACAGACTCCATCTCAAGATTGATCTGGCAAATCAGACCAAAGAAAAAAAAAAAAAACATGTACAAAGATGTATACCCTACCAATCAAAATTTTGTACTTTGTCTTTCTCTTTAACAAAAAGTGTCTTAAAACCCTTAATAGGGGTTTTATATAGCTTGCTGCATCCTGAACACAATGTTCAGCTACTTAAAGGACACATCCTATATGTTTAGCTGAAAGTAGTCTCTATCCTGAGACCTGTACTACATATCCCTTCTCCTTTTGCCCATAATAGAAGCCACCAGCGCACACACACACACACACACACACACACACATACATACACATACAT